AGGTGAAGGTGGAGGTGGAGGAGGACGAGAGGGTGGTGATCATCACCGGAGAGAAGAAGCTGGAGAGGGAGGAGAGGAAGGGGAACTGGTATCAGATGGAGCGGAGCACGGGAAGGATGGTGCAGCGTCTGAGTCTGCCGCAGAACGCCAAGATGAGCCAAGTCAAGGCCTACATGGACGGCGGTGTCCTGACGGTGACTGTGCCCAAGTACGAGGTTGCTAATTACTATAATCAGGCCAGAAGGCCCAGACTCATTAACATTTCTGGCAACTGAAAGCAAAACCTTCCATCCAGCTAGTAATATCGTAGTAATTAATAATTACAAGATAATGAATGAAAGCTTGCTTGCTGGCTCTATGGTGTTATGAAATCTACATAAATAATTAGGAAGATAATAAGCCAGATTAATTTCTCTGTCTTCCTTTATTTGAACTTCATAATATATACATAATTATATATGTATATCCTCTTAGCTTGTATCTGAAATCACATAATAAGTTTGATGCTATATATATATATATATATATATATATGTATATGTATGTATAATTTAGAGTGTGAGAGATGTGGATTTTTGTTCTTCTTTCCAATATATATGGGTGACGGTCAGGGATTGTACTTATATAAGTGAAGGCCTCCAATCTGCTTTAGGCTTGTCTTTGTAATTTTGTATTCAAACAATAGAACATAGTCTAATTCTCTTCTGGTCTGAAATATAAGACACCTATACAAGTGTGTATAGAGGTCTTATATTTAGGATCGGAGAAGTACAGGATTAAAAATCTTGCTGTGCATGTTCTTATAATTTAAACGCGTGTTCATGCAAAGTTCGATCATCACAATTTTGTCCGCGCAACTATGCAAACTATACATATATCATCTTCGTATTTGGTATATGGTTGATTGAAATGAATTTCCCCAAGCCCCTTAATTAAAAAGCTGAATACATATCATACATGTAAGCTTTATATGTTTATCTCGCTTCCCTATATAGTTTTTATCTCTTTATCAATTTAAACAAGTACATATTAAAAAAAAATAAAGATCGCATATGGTTGGTTACGTTGATAAATTTGAACAGTACTTTTAAACTGCAGAAATTTAATTTTAAACAAAAATGGGCAGGAGAAATTCATTGATGTTTCTTAAACTTTGTATAGAATAACATAATTTAAGTTACTAACAGGTTTGGATTTAGTGAAATGGGCTAATCTCTTATAATATAGCGAATCAATTTTTGGATTCTCACATAAAGAAATACCTACATTTAATACATAACAATATTTTGAATATGATTGCCTCAGCCAAAAACATAATTTAAGCTTCCACTCCACCACGCATACTCGTGTAATGGGCCCAACAATGCTTTTTTCTTAATCACAGAATCGGGTCTTCATTTTTAAGCTAACCCATATGCATATACGTACACACACATATAGAGCATCTGAAAATCTCAGACCGAAAAAGAATACGGAGTCTAGTGGCCAATTAAAACTCAAGTCTCTGTTGCAAGATATACCCATATTTAGTTCCTAATAATACTTCAAATAAGATTAGCTCCAACATTTTTAAGCCAAACATGGTTCAATTTTACTTAAGTATGGGCATTCTAATTTTTCTAGTCCTTTAAATTTCATGCCACAAATATCCACACCTATTTAGTAATAACTCATCATGAATTTGAGGCATGATTCGTGAGGGATATCAATGTGATCGCACATTTTAAAAAAAAAAGATAGAACTTTTTTATGTCTTCTGATTTGATATAACTTGAAGGTCAGCTCTTTCAATTTGTGTAATTTGCTTGGATGGGAGAAAAAAAACAAAAAGAAAAATGCAAGAATTATATATGCAAATAAATCTCAATGATGCATACTATCAGGGATTGGGTCTAATGGAAGAGGCTGGTCTCCCACAATATGGTGAACCAAGACTTGGATCCCTACTGGGAGAAATGTCTACATTTAGTATCCGACAGTACTTTGAATATGATTGCTTCCACTAGGAGATGTCAATGATGTACCCATTCAAAAATAAAGACCATAAATTAAAATTATAAAATTTAATTATAAAGGTCAACTCTTTCAGTTTTGGTCCCAACGGATGGACGGCATGCTAATGGTGCCACACTTGTATTATTTGTATATATAAACAACAATACATCTAAATTCACAAATTCATGCAATATACTGAAAATTTTCCTAATTATTATTGGCACAATTTATGAAGGAGATAACTGCAATTTATTCGAACTTGTCATAACTTTTTTTTTCCCACGACTTTATTCTTATTTTTTATTTTTAATGTTGACTTTCTTTTGCCATTAAATTTGAGACATCTAGAAGCTCCACCCATTCAACTTTGCATTTTAATTTATCCCTGTTAATTAAAGGCATATTTATTAATAATACAAAATACTACTTCTAATCCTAATTATAAAACCTCGTTTGTAGATTACAAACAAAGTCTTATAATTAGGACTAGAAGTATTATATAATATTTTTGAACAAGTTGCACCATTTTCCGTTCATGAATAGTGCAACCTATTTCTTAATCTATAGCAAAATGTATTAGTAAACAATTCGTCAAAGTTGTATGGCACAATTCATGCATCATTTTGCAAAAGTGAGTACTTTACATTACCGATTGTACTTAACTGTTTCTATCATATCTCAGTTATAAACAGGGCATAAACTTTTCGAGGAAACCAAGCAATACCAACCAGAAACCCATCTCTCTCCCTGTGATTCTGCGTTCTGGTAATTAAAAGATGGATCACATGCACACATCCATGAATAACACAAAAGAGATGGAGATGCATCTGAGTCTGTACTGGGGAAAAGATGCCACAGTCCTCTTCGCTAACTGGCCTAATCGCAGCCTTGGCATGTACATATCATCTATCCTCGTCGTCTTCCTCCTAGCCCTGCTTTGTGAGCTTTTCTCTAAACATCCAACCCTAAAACCACGGACTAGCCCTCTCCTTGGAGGGTTGTCCCACTCTATTTTCTACTTCTTTCATATTGGCTTCCATTACTTGGTGATGCTTGCTGTTATGTCCTTCAACATCGGCATCTTCATAGCTGCTTTGGTTGGCCGCACCCTTGGCTTCCTTATCTTCAACTATCGAGCTATTCACTCATCAGCCAACAAAGACCCCAACGAGTCCTCCGTCCCTTCTTCCCCTAAAGTTTAAAACAGTTTAGCAGCAGAAATTAATTAGTCATGTATCATAAACACTAGCCTTGTTTTGTTCATGTTTAGTTCCTGATCTTCTATTAATTAGTAGTATACATGTCTCTGTGTTTAATTATCTGTGAATCTCGACGTCTCAAGCTTTTTTTGTACTTGGTTAATTTTCTTGGAAGCTTTAATTTCGTCCAGCCATTTTCTCGTTTTGTGCTTGTATAGACAAAGAAGAAATATGGGTCCATTTCGTTCATGGAATGGATGGTTATAGAAAGGAATGAAATGAAATGGTGGTGTTTACCCAAATAAATACGATGATTTGTATAGCATTAAGAATGTTGGAAAAATATTTACTTTGATACCTTGCAAATTAAATCAGATCCGAAGTAAGAAGACCAGAATATCCCCAACAAAATTCTATTTTGGCCCCCCTCTTCCTTCGGTTTTCTCCTTCCTTATTGGAAAGCAATATCTGAATCAAAGCAAGGTATGAAATCGTGGCCACAGATTCAATTTGAAACCCTAACAAGCTAGATGCAATTAATCAAACATATATACATGGATCTGATTAATCACTTATTTTCAACTAATAAGAAAGCAAACCCAAATCATGTGTCTTTATATTTATGCTCAGCTCATCTTTCCTCATACCAGAACTCAAACTTAGAGCCGAACAAGCATAACACCGTCATGATTTTTTTTTTTTTGGAAAAAGTAAAGAAACCAATTCAGTGGAGAAAGACATTTATTCCAATATGAATACTTGACCTTCGACCCAAGGAAAAGAACAGAGAATACTTGACCCCATTTATTCCGCCACGATATCTTCAGTCTGGGCAATGATTAAATGGGAGCTAATGCTCAAGCCCAAAGACTGGAAAATATGTTTCCCATCACTATATACGCAAAACTTTAAGTCAGAGTTCATGATTGAAGTAACCGAACAAATAAAATAGAACGGAGGTTCTCCGTGAATTCTCATTTAATTTTCATCATGTTTGTACCCATTGCAACAAAAGAACCAATTTCGGCGCTAATCGTAGTAATATGTATGTGTGTATTACTTCTTTCTCATGAAAAAAATCAAACATAACATATAATTATTAATCTCATTTACAAGGCCAAAGCGGGGGCCAATATTGCAATTCAGGCACTGGTGCTTGGCGGACATCATTGCAATTTCACACGCGCATATTCTGTTTTTTTTTCTTTTTTGGCCAAAATTCGACATAATTAGTTGACGGTCGATTTCTTCCAGTTTTGTAATTTGTGGTGAATAAAAGACCAATATTCATTGTTAAAACAATAAACCCATTGTTTCATTACCACATCAAATCAAGATATACTGCTTGATTTAATCATTAGAAGGCGTGAGATCGAGAATAATTAAACAGTCAATATGATGCATGTCCCACTTGCGAGGTAAAATTATTGATATAAATATAGTCTAATTGATTAAAACGTTAAAGTACTCCAAGACTTTGAGGTTATATATATTGTGTCATTTCCATATTGTCATACAAAAAATTTACTTACCATATAGTCAACAAGGCACTGTGAGTATTGTGACATGTACGTACTTTGAGGAGACACTGAGTTATGAGTTTAATTATTAGCAATGGAGGGGCCAGCCACCAGGATCATATTTCAGGAGGTTTGTTTCCCCTAGATTTTGTAGCATGATATTTCATAAGCTTAATTATAAATAAGATCTAATCTTTGGAAGGAAACCAAACAATATAAATACCAGCCCCAAAATTTATCTCGCACTTGTATCTGTGTGTGTGAACAAGCAATTGGGTAGCAAAAGATGGATCACGTGCACATGTCCATGAAAAGCAGCAAGAAGATGAATATGCACATGGTGAGCTTTTATTGGGGAAAAGATGCCACAGTCCTTTTCTCTGGCTGGCCAAACCACAGCCTCGGCATTTACATATTAGCTATCTTCCTCACCTTCCTCCTAGCTCTGCTTTGTGAGCTTTTCTCTAAAAAACCAACCCTAGAACCAGGGACTAGCCATCTCCTTGGAGGGTTGTCCCACTCTGTTTTCTACTTCTTTCATATTGGCTTCCATTATTTGGTGATGCTTGCTGTTATGTCCTTCAACTTTGGCATCTTCATCGCTGCTATAGTTGGCCACACCCTTGGCTTCCTTATCTTCAAGTATCGAGCTATTCACTGCACCAACAAGGCAACAAGGACCCCGGCGTATGATGAAAGACTATTTAGGGCAGAAAACTTCTACAAATAGCACAAGAAAATAGTTACTCCTCCGGTCCTTATTATAAGACCCAATTTGACTTTTTATTTGGTCCTAATTATAAGACCCAATCCATTTTCTCTCTTATATTTATGTATTTTTTTCCAAGATAATCCTTCTAATAATGATAGTTTTAGCCAATATACTTAATTAGCAAGGATATTTTAGGAATAACAACACTTATTTATTATAAATAACCAACTTAACTTACTTCCTTAATCTCCTCAAATAAGTCAATTGGGTCTTATAATTAGGACCGGAGGAGTATTTTAGAAGTTTTTCCTCCTTGTATCCACCCGAGCTCTCTATAAATTCATGGATCATGCAAAGGAGTGTGGTTGATCTGTCAATGTTTTCCTCCTCTTCTAGTGGTACGGCTCCTTTGTTGTTGATTTTTCAGGAAGCTCTTGGACTTTTTGGTTTGATTTCATTTCTCAAGCTTTTTCAGGTTTCAGATGCATCTTCTACCCATAAAGAACACTGTCTCAGCATATCATCAGTTCATGTATATCAATCTGTACATCAAGATTTTAAAAAAAAAAATGTATGATTTTGTAATAGAAAGAAATTATTATAAGTTGATGAGTAACAAAAATTCTTTTTTCTTAATATAGTTATCTGACTATATTGTTATAAGTCGGATTCAAATATTATTAAGATTAATTAACGGTAGTTCTTCTAAAAGTGTTCTTTGTATTCATATGGGCTCAAATTCTGATGATTTTAAGTCATTATCACAAATAAAATTTTTAATAGGAGATTTTTTTCTTAATTTTTCCAGAACACAATGGCTATTCCTCCTTGGTTCATGCAAAAAGGTAGTATAAAAAGAATTTAATATGTTTCTATTATGTGATGATAATAAGTAAAATTACCAATTTTTCCTTGAATTAAACGTCACTGTACCGTGTTGGCAATTCGTAATTACCCATACGGTCGACTGATGTGGACTTATGGGAGGGATCAGATTTTTTTTCATTATGTTATTTTTTTTCCCATCAACTTTCTTTATATATCGTAGGTGAAAAAACAAGAGACCGTCCATGGTTTTCCTAGATATGAAAATATAATTTTTTTTTAAAAAAAATAATGAATCATATGTGCCAGCTGGAGATGGCAATCGAACATGTACTTCGAGGACATCGTTGGTTTGGATCATCATCAATGGATGCTAATTACGTACCAACAACGACAACAATAATAACAACACCGTTGAATTAGGCTGCCCATAACGAACCCTTGGATACTTAACATCACGTAGTTTTGTTAGTTGTTTGTAATTATCACCCCTTTTCATGCGTGCTGGGCTCCTACGTTGTTTCCATCTTGTCATCAATACCATAAAAACCCTACACGCAAATCAAACAACATCCACCCTTACACTTATCCATCCCTCTGTCTTATCGATGGATCCCATGCCAATGTCCGCCATGAAGATGAAGATGAAGATGAGCTTCTATTGGGGCAAAGATGCCATAGTCCTCTTCTCTAACTGGCCCAACCACAGTCTTGGAATGTATATTTTGGCTATCTTCTTCGTCTTCGTTCTGGCCATTCTCTCTGAACTTGTTTCCAATCAGCCTGCCCTTAAACGTGGGACTAATCCTCTCCTCGCAGGCTTATATAAGGCTGTTTTCCATTTGTTTCATATCAGCTTCTCTTATTTGGTGATGCTGGCTGTTATGTCCTTCAACCTCGGCATCTTCATAGCTGCTGTCGCTGGCCACACCTTGGGATTCTTTATCTCCAAGTATTATCGACATATTGACCAGGCCAACACAGATGATCACAACAGGTCCTCCCTTGTTAATCACAAGGCTTAAAAAGTTTAGCAGAAATTCATGTTTTATTTTGTTGTTTTTTTCTCTTTTCCATTATCGGCTGGGCCTGGCTGTCCTTGTTGATCTGTGAATTAAACTTTTTGTTGGTTCTAGAGCAAGCTTCTGGGTTTACTTTTATTGAATTGTCCAGCTCTTTTCTGGTTTTTTAAGGATGTTTTATCAGCATGAAGCAATGTCTTGATGTATCATCGACGCACGTATGAAGAATGTTTACTAAACCTTTTATGTCCCTATTCTGTTCTGTTCTGTTCTGTTTTTGTTGTCCAAAAGCCCTTCAACTTGTTTTCAATCTCTCCGAACTTGCCTAAAGACAGGGCTGCTCATAAGAAAAGCATCGCATGAACTATGAAGAAGAGGGCCCTAACTAATTAATGCATGAATATGATTGAGATCTCAACAGCAGAACTACATACAAAGGCAAAACAATAACAATAATAATACAAACACTTCACATCATCTAATTACTTAAATGGATTTATATCTGTATTGTCCTCACAAGTATAGACAATTATCATAATTTTTCAAAACATTAGAATTAGAATTACAATTACAACTCTCTTTATATTTGGCCCCCCAAAATAAAATGTTCATTGATCCGAAGTCTAAATATCTGTGTTTGTTCTTAAACTCAAACTCTTTTGTCAAATCCCCCCCCCTTTTTTCCCTTGAGATTTGGAAAATATGCCCGGTAGAGGCAATTTACGGGTCCTACGTAATGCAAAATTCTAAGGATATAAAATGACAAGATTTTGTAACGAGCGAAGAACAGAGTTTGGGTATTTATATGACAGATAGGGCTAATACACTGCCGTCACATGATTCTTGTTTCTCTTAGATTTAGGAGAATGGTAGAGAAGGACCTGAAAATACGAAGAAAGGACAAGAATACACAAAACTGAAACAAATGAATTTCACATTCTTGCTGCAATATAGGGACTCATAATGAGAATTGAAAAAACAGTAGGAGGGGCGGCTACCTTTGATTTTCCAAATATAATGCAGAGTGGTTCTTCTCGTGTATGGGACCCACCCACATTCTTTGCTCAAATCTCAGAACTTTTACTTCAGCTATACTAAGAAACAATCTTTGATTCCATGAGCGCAGAAGAACAAGGGTTAAAGAATGGATTCATTTAGCAAAGCCTTGAGTGTGATTCATCGAGACAAGGGACTAAGTATAATCATCGTAAATCTCGACGAGTATGAACTGAATCGTTATTTAACGCTTTCTCTCAAAGGATGCCGATTCCATCGATTGCAAAGCCTCTGCATTGAACCGTTCGAGTTATGTCAGCTTCATCAGCTGATTTCGTCAACATGCTGGAGGCACGAAATTCAAGTGTCAAACGTGGTGTTTTTCAAGGGGAAAAAAATGAAGTTTAAAAACGCTGGTCAAAAGAAGGCAAAACGTTAATAGAAAACCACTTGGAGACTGGGAGTTTATATTTATCCATGAAAGAAATGTCAAAAAGATGAGAAGGCAGAGTTAATACAAGAAAGTTAATACAGACCAGGCCAACACAGATGATCACAACAGGTCCTCCCTTATTAATCACAAGGTTTAAAAGAGTTTAGGAGAAATTTATGTTTGATTTTGCTGTTTTGTCTCTTTTCCATTATTGGCTGGGCCTGGCTGTCCTTGTTGTTCTGTGAATTAAACTTCTTGATGGCTCTCGAGCAAGCTTCTGGGTTTTCTTTTATTGAATTGTCCAGCCTTTTTCTGGTTTTTTAAGGATGTTGCATCAGCATGAAGCAATGTCTTAATGTATCATCGACACACGCATGAAGAACTTTTCACTAAACGTTTTATGTCCCTGTTCTGTCCTGTTTTTGTTGTCCAAAAGCCCTGAAACTTGTTTTCAATCTTTCCGAACTTGTCTAAAGACAGGGCTGCTTATTATCTCATGAGAAAAGCATCGCATGAACTACAAAGAGGGCATTAACTAATTAATAATATCTCTAGTCCTCGTTATAAGATTTTTTTATATACTACAAACGAGATCTTATAATTAAAACCGAAGATAATATATGAATATGATTGAGATCTCCATAGCAAAACTACATACAAGGCAAAACAATAACAATAATAATACAAATACTTCACATGATCTAATCATTTAAATAGATTTATATCTGTATTGTCCTCACAAGTATAGATAATTATCATAATTTTTCAAAAATTACAACTACAGCTACAAGCCTACAACCCTCTTTATATTTGGCCCCCCAAAATAAAATGTTCATTTGTTATGGTCTTTATATTTGATCCAAAGTCTAAATATCTTTGTTCGTTCTTAAACTCAAACTCTTTTGTCAAGTTTCTTTGTTTCTTTTAACTTGAAATTTGAAAAATATGCCCTGTAGAGACAATTTAAGGTTCCTACATATGTATGTGTGCGTATCAAAGGTCATAATAAAAAACCAGCTGCTTGTGTATTTACAAAATTCTAACGGCAGGGCTTCTCAAATCATCAAATATAAATTATAAAATCGCAAGATTTGTAACGAGCGAAGAACAGAGTTTGGATATTTATGACAGATAGGACTAATACATTGCTCTTACATGGGTCGTTTTTCTTTCAAATTTAGAATGGTAGAGAAGGACCTGAAAATAAGAAGAAAGGATAAGAAGATATAAAACTGAAACAACACGATTTCACATGCTTGCTGCAATATACTGCCTCCGTCTTAATTATAAAACCCCGTTTATAGTTTATAAACAAAATTTTATAGTTAGGACTAAAGGTAGTATAAGAGTATTAATAACTGTCTTAGTTAGGAAGTTTTAGATTACAGCGGTCACTAACTTATGCCTACCACATGTGTATATAAGGACAAGTGTACTCCACGATATTTCAGTATTTTCTCTCAACTTTTCCTTTTTCCTCTCACCACTCGTGTTACAATATAGGGACCCATAATGAGATTAGAGAAAACTGTGAGAGAGGTGACTGCCTTTGATTTTCCAAATATAAAGCAGCGTGGTTCTTCTTGTGTATTGCACAGCATTAGCTTCCTACCCACATTCTTTGCTCAAATCTCAGAACTTTTACTTCAGCTATACTTACGAAGAGCCTTTAATTTTATGCACACAGAAGAACAAGGGTTAAAGAATGGATTCATTTAGCAAAGCCTTATGCGTGATTCATG